TAATCCAAGCCCCTAGGTTATTAGAGGGTTGCTAGCAAGCTGCACTACTGAGAATAATTAGGGAAAACCAGCTAACATGCATGGCAAGATTAACAGACCACCACGCTTGTTAACAATACTGCAATCTTGAAGCCAGGTTCCTGTGTATCATTTTTATGGGGCTGAAGAGACAGTTGTGAAATGGAAGAATTGAGGAATTCCACCAGTGCAGCAATCTATCGAAATCTAAATTCAAGCACATACAAGGGACTTTGGAAAGAGTATTTAATACTGTATCTGAGGATCATCACTCTAGAAAGGCTTAGATACTCAGATTATTCCTTGATATACCCTGATAACTCCACTCTGCACCCTAAACTTTCCACTTGCATGGAAAAAGTCTAACAAATAACTATGTAGAAACAACAAGAAAAGCCCACCCTGATGAGAAAAATGAGCCCCACCCCCCATGACTAAAACTTCATGCTAGCATACTTCTTTCTGTATACATCAACTAAATCATTAATCCTACTATTGGGAAACAGAAGAAGCCCATAAACCAGAGAAAGAACCCCCAAACTTTAAAAATTAAGCACGGAACAGAAGCTAATAATGGCTTCATTATCTTCATAAAGGAAGTGAAAACACTGGCCACCATAATCTTCCCAAGCTCACATGCGCTGGAGTTCTCTCTCTCTCAAACACACACACACACACACACTAAAATACACTGCTGGGAGATGGCACTGCAACTTAACTATTCAAATGCAAATGTGCCTGGACATTCTTCTATTAGCTTTCTAGAAAAGCAATAGCATTTACAGAGGAAAAAAAGATGCAAAGATCAGTAACCCAGTGCAATATTTTCCAGGCCTGGGCAGCAACTCAAAATAAGCCCTGCCAGGATGTTTGTGGATGGCAAAGTGAGAGCAGGACATGCCTGCCATACGGACTGTTTTGTCCATACCCAGTACATGCATACATGGGCAAGGACACATCTGCACAGCTATGCTTTCCTCTCTCACCTCTGAATAGACCTCCTTATTTAACAAGCAGTGTGTGATGCAGCATTTGGAGGGGGGAATGGAAGACTCCATTTAAAGTCCTCCCCCCCCCCCCCCAGCAGATATGCACCTTACTCTGGAAAACAGTCAGCAGTGGCTGCTGCTTTACATTTTGACCCTACTCTTTTCCCAGGGGACAGAGTCACCACTGAGAGATTCAGCATCTCTGACAGAAAGTGAAATATCGTAAGAGAAGGAGCACAGAAGCAGTGGTAAGATGACCCAATTATGCAGAAAGCTGGTTACAGCCAACATCCAGTGAGTAGGCTGACAACATGGAAAAGATTCTGCCCTGGAGGTGAAAAAAATTGGATAGTGGGGAGAAGTGATTAAAGGATGGATTTTCTGTTAACACATACACTTGGAATGGGGCAGGGGGCAAGGGAGTAAATAGTAAATTATCAAGCTAAACTGAAATTAAGGATATATAGAATTGTCTCATACTGCCAGATAAATTGGTCTGTCTAATCTAAGACTGCACTGTGAAGGGAGCAAATATTGAACTCATATTTTCATACATGCAAAGCAGGTGCTCTGATATAAGTATAATATAATATAATATAATCCCTCTTAAAACGCTTATGAAAAGAGGCTGCTTTACATACATTTGATACAGATGTGTTGTCAATTCCCTGCAAACCAAGATTTCCAATGAGGGGCCAGTTTCAGAACTGCACACTCCATCTCTCCTTCCCTTTCTTGGGCTTAACCATGATTCAGACATGGCTAATGAGTCACTCACTAGCCATGGTTAATGCTAACTGGATTCTCCACTTAAGCATACCTTGGAAGCCCATTTAAGTGTTTGGCATTGATACTGCTGTGACACTAAGCCATTGCTAAAGCTGAGTAGTCCATATTAGTATGGAATACAAGTTTAATAAATAAGTAAACAAATAAAGATAGGGAACGGAAGAAGAGGGCTTTGTGCTAACGAGGGTAAACAAATGAGATCACATTCCAAGGCTGGTTCACATTTTATAAGCCATGGTTTCCATGGAGTTAGCATTAGAGTCTCAACTGGGCTCTGAATGAATGCCAACAAAATATTTTTGGAATTTTTAAATTCCCTTTGACTGTTCTGTATACTGCTCATGCCAAAACGTGCTTGACTTCTCTTTTGTTTCTCTTCTCAATTGCAAGCTCCTTCCTTTATTTCTTTCTGGAAAAGGATGGTGGCTGTGTCTCATGATGCAACCTCATCTTAAAAAACAAAGATTCATGCAGATAGCTTGGTAGCCTATACAAGTATTTAAGGTGTGTTGTATTAACCTCCCTTTCTCAACACAATGTTTAGGCTGATTTTTACCCTAAATTGTGATCCCTTGGGCCCAATATTCATATATATATATATATACATATATAGCTACAAAAACTTTCCATTAGCTACCCCCTGAAAATTAGAAAGTTACACATGCTCACAAAAGTTTTGTAATCGATGAGGTTGAAATAATTTTAAATTGAAAGAACAATAACATTAGAAAAAATGGCAGTTTGCTTACTTTATGCATGATATAATTTAATTGTTATGTTGTAACAAAGGCAACATTCTTTTCCAATGAATCATTAGGCTCTAAAAATTGCAATACTAAGACAGAATATTACTGATGTTCCTGAACTCCTTGGAGGTGGTTTGAACGTAACATCAAACCAAGGCATCCATGTCATGTACTCCCACCTTCTCCCCTATGACACATCTCTGACTCATCTTGGTTGAGGCAAGCCACTATTTCATCTGAACTGGCAAACTACAGTTAGTAGTTTGCAGCCCGCAAACCAGAATCAAACATGCATTAGATGAACCAGTTTGGATCATTGTCTTAGTTTATTAAGATAAGACGTGAATGAACCTTTTGCTTATACACATAGACTCTTTGTTCCTCCATTTAAATTTTTTTATCAGTTTTTTTTTTTTTTTTTGCAAGTATGCACTTATGGCTGTCTGATATGTGGAGTCCTGCCTGGTCAATTCCCTTGTCTGTTTCAGTTGTCAAAGGTATGACCAGGTGAGGCTGCATACAGCTGATGTGTATACAGAGGCTTAGCTGTCAATGCAAAGGGGGGGGGGGCAACAAAACCAGCAAAATGGAATGGGAACAATATAACCCGCTGTGATCTCTTTTTCTTAAGCATTGAACTGATAGCTCGCAATGCCTCCTACAATTTCAATACTTGACCAAATCTCCAGCTACTCCAGAAAGGGGAGAAATTAACTCCCTCCCTTTACGGCTCCTTTTTAGAGCACGTACACTGAGGTTCCCTGACAGTTAAGAAAAATAGAGAGAGAAATGCATGCAAATGAATGGTTGGGAGGAAAAGAAGGAAAAACTGGAATACCCCCATTAGGTTCTCTATTACTGCAGGTACACAAATATTCCTTCAATTTGCTTCCAGTCTTAAACTGGCACTCACTCCTCCTCCATTTATTTCCCAGTCATTACCATTTGTGTATGTCTTGGCATTTTTAAGAACTGTCAGTCAACCTCAGTAAACATAGCAGTTAGGGGTCCAAAAGGGGGGTGTGTGGGTCTATTATCTGATTAAAAGTAAAGGCACACCAGAAGAGCCAAAATCTTCAGATCAAAGTAAAAGCAAAACATTAACAAAGGTTCATGCCTTTTAGAATATCCATAAAACCTCCTCAAAATAAGTAGTGCATGGAAACGTGAAGATATTACAACCGTACCTGCTCCTTCTTGAAATAATCGCTCAAACATATTGGAGCACTCTCTTTGCTTACCTTTATCGAAGAAGCTGCATAGAGCATATCTTCAAGTGTTAAATGGCAGCATCGGTTCAAGTATTCCTGACAAAATTCTTGTATCAGTTGGAGATTATACAAGCTGTCAGCCAATGACATGGTTTCCTTCAAACAGATATCTATAAAATGAAGAAAAAGGAGGTGTAGGCGTTTGAGAAAGAGCAGTGTAGAAGGAGTCTGGAGAAGAGTGGCACTCCTGATTTTTTGTTCATTCTAGAGTAGGATGATTATGAAAGACATTTTCTGCTTTTAGGTGCATGGAACCAAATAAAAGCACCAGCTTGTTTAAAAGCAAACGACAGAGAATTTTGTTTGTTGCAGATGCTAATTCTAAATTACAGAGGGAGCAGCAATCAGATGCCATGATAATCCATTATTTATACTGATGGGAACAGCCTGCCCTGAGCCTCACACTTGTGCCTTCCATCCTCCATTCTCTTCTTCCAGTGTGAAACTAACAAAAAGATAGCTTCACTTTTTGATTACCTGTAATATAAACGATAAACTGTGGCTAATTTGAACTGTTTTAAGCATGCTTCTTTTACGCAAACCAGCTTCTTAAACCATGTTTTGGCTTGTTCCAAGAAAACTACAGTGAACAACCTTTATTAGGTTTAGATGATATGACAGGATACAGTTAATCAAAACCAAAGCGCTGGAGGAGGTAGAGGAGAAGAGGAAAGGGAATACACAAGCCTGAGATTTGCAGCTTCTTCACGGTTTAATATAAATCATGGTTTAACATAACAGTGAAACACCGTTAGATCGCTTACCTATGTTCCTTTGGCAATTTTACTTTTCTTCAGTTATTCTAATGGTATACTGAAATATTGCTGAGAAATGCATCCGTTCAATCACAGTCATCTGGTGTGGAAAACTATTCCTGAATTCATATATCCTTAATCAAAAGTTTGTTTCTGAGAAGCAGATGCTCTATTACTAAAGCAGAAAAATTGGACTCACCCTCCAATCTGACTATATCTGGGCAGTAAAAATGGATCAGGGCCGTTAAAGCGCAGCCATCTGTACCATCCTTCAGCAGGTTTTCCACCAATGGGATGCAAGGCAGCTGCTTAAGCAGAGTTTGTTCCTTCCTATAACGAGCCTGTCATGGACAAAGGAAAAAATAACATAGACACTCGCCCAGAAAGATATGCAAGAACAGATTCATGCTGCAGATTCTTTAACCCATTCACACAAAAAAGCAACTACTTCCAAACCAGACATAATTTCCTTATTTTACATAGATTTAATATTCATAAGCAAACATAATTTCATTTTAAAAGAAAACCTGGGGCCAACTCCATTCAAAGCTATGCCAGTTTTTAATCAGCCACGCACATGCTCATTCTCTTTCGGTCAATCAGCGTGGGTCCAACATTTACTCAGTACTTACAGTGCAAAGTAATAAACAACACCCAGCTTCCACAGTGGGAAACACAGGCTGCCTATCTCTGCTCTGGTTCTGACAAGCTTTCTAAAAGGAGGGGATGACCATCTGAAAAAAGATCCTAGGGAACATCTTGTCCACATGCGCACAGTTTCGGGAATGCTCACTCACTTAATCTTGCTGTTTCACAATACAGGCAGTCCCCAGGTTATGAGACATTCCTGAGAAAATGGAAATCTGTCTTTAAGTCAGATTTGTACAGATCATGTATACTCAGCTCTCCACAACTGTTGGGGGTTAGGGACACAACATCCTCAAGAAGGTGGAAGAACTGTGAATACCTCTAGCCTTCCCTGCCCAAACTCATCAGTGTTTCCTCTTTGCATCAAAGAAATGCTGGACTGGTTTTCCTTCTCAAGATGGGCAGTGCATGAAGGCATGCTTTGAAGGCTTTCCTCTCTACCCTTTCACATTCTTTCTCTCTATGGTGATACTTTGGGGGCCTCCCTCTCTGCCCTTTTGCTTCTCCTCTCTCTATGGTATTGATGATTTCTTGCGGCTATTTTTTTAAAAAAATAATAGGCAATTCATTTGTAAGTACAGATTGTTCATAACTTGGATTTCATAACTCAGGGACTGCCTGTATATAAACACTAAATTCTAACATTTCCCCATAAAACCAGTATATGTTATAGAAATGAAAATAATAACAACAACACTGTAGATAGTATGTCTGTGTTTACTGCATGTTAATACCTACCAATATGGAGGGATTTTCACAAAAATTTATGAGCCGCCCTGAGGCTTTGGTGATGGGCGCGGCATAGAAATATTATAAATAAATAAATAAATAAAAATAGAAGGAAATTCCTTAAAGAATATCTAGTCTCTTGTATGGTAAACTACCGTACAAGAAGCACAGCATCATATTTTATACTCCATACTGGGAGTTACCATGTAAAACAGCAAAGATACAAAAAGGATACAAGCCAGTTCAGATGTCCCAAGAAATCATGACAGGAACAAATTGTGGTGAGCCTTGAGCTTCCATATTCTCTTCCCTTTCCCCTCATGATTGCAAGGAGCAATCCGGATGCTTCTGCAAAACTGTAGCTTGTTCTTTCACTCTGAAACCTTACACAAACTGTGATTCAAGCTGGAGTCAGATGAAAGATGCTTCAAGCTGTAGTTTATGAAGCTGGCTTCTTTTGACTAACCCAATTAGGATTTGGATGACATGCGAAATTGCCATGAGTGAGAAGCTTCCAGTCAACTCCTTGGAGCCACATCAGAGGAGGAGGGGAAGGGAAGGGAAGGGAAGGGAAGGGAAGGGAAGGGAAGGGAAGGGAAGGGAAGGGAAGGGAAGGGAAGGGAAGGGAAGGGGGACTTGCATTCTTCTGCCTGTTCAGCTGACTTGCTTTTTGACAAGGCTGCACTGTCTCTTGCAAGCAGAGCGAGACTTGCATGCAGGCAATCACATGTTTGACAATCCAAGTTCTCTTTGGGATGCACACATATGCAGCCATGCCAGAAACTTCTGGAGTTTTTCACTGCTGGATTTTAGTTGCCACTAACCAGATTTTAACTGATATTGAATATGCATGTTTAATCTAGCATTACCTATCCAGTTTAGTTATAAATGACATAAAATTGTCAGCTCTCTTTGTCAGACGGCCAAAATACTGCCCCATCACTTTGGGTGTTCAAAGAAATCCTCACTTAGATTATTTTGGTTTAGCAAAGAACAATAAAGGGAAAACTGGTGACCTGCAACAGCAGTGGGTTGGACCCAATGGCCTTCATGGCCCCTTTCAACTCTACTGTTCTATGAGACTGTGAGATACATTCTACCTTTTTCACTGAAATGCATTAAGGAATACAAGAATACAAATATGAACATATAAAACACTAAAACTTCTAAGTAATTAGTACTTAGCTAAGTATACGTAGAAGTTACCATTCAAAAGGCTAGACTGAAAAGATGCATCTTCAGACCCTTTCTGGAAGCCGATTATGGGGGCTAAGCATATTTACTGAGGGAATGCATTCTACAGTTTGGGAGAGACACAGGAAAAAACATCCTTTCATGCATACTTGTCAAACAGGTTTCAGTGGATAACAGTGCCCTCCAAGTTCTGTAGATCTTAACAACCGGGCAGTTTCACAACAAGACAGAGATCCCAAGCTGTTTAGAATACACAAAATGCACAGATTTGGGAGAACTGTGTGGAAACAAGTATATTTCAGGAGAAACACATACAAAAATCTGTGGAAATGTTGGGGTAGATTGAAAAGTCTTTGTGCCCACAAGCCTGTGTGGAAACTGAACAAAACAAACTTATCGCAGAATCTGATGTGTGTTCAGACAGAAAAGAAATCCTACAATGGCTAGCTGGATGCTGGGAGATGTCTAAATATCTAAAGGGCTGGACCTTTAAGGTTAGAAAAATGTGTTGCTGAGTGAAACAAATCAACAGTTCTGCCCCCTCCTTACAGCGTCCCTTTGATATCAAAGCATTCTACTTGCTGTTTATTTTTCCTCCAAACATCTGACATGATGTTCAAAAATGTAGTTTGTTAAATCAACAATATAAAGAGGAAGCCACCGCTGTGACAAATCTATATTCCATGCTTCACAAATGTTTATACAAAAACACGAAATGTACACTGCCTTGCAAATGACGATATTGCCAGCCAACAGGATACATTTGATTCTCAAGGCAATACTCATTGTTACATATGGTGTCAGTAAAAAGAAAAAAAACAATTTCCATTTCCAACATTATGCCCATTTATTAAAACATAATTTGTATATACAAAGAAAATTATCTGGAGGAGAAAAGCTATTGTAACAGGTGAGTACCTTTTTAAACAAAAAGGGCAAATGCTATTTTGGAATGCCTAAATTGAAGTATTCCTTCCAGAACAAGACAGGTACTAGTTCCCCTTTACTCTGCACTAGTCAGACTTTACCTAGGATATGGTGTTCAGTTCTGGGCACCCAAGTTTTAAAAAGATGCAGAAAAACTAGAAAGGGTTTGGAGGAGGGCAACAAAGGCAACCCAGGATCCAGAAACTAACCCTGTGATGAGAAACTGAGAAAACTGGGCATGTTTGGCCTTAAGAAGAGAAGACTGAGAGGGGATATGATAACATTTTACAAGGACCTCAAAGGCTGTCACAAAGCAGAAGGATAAGATCTCTTTTCACTCATCCCTGGAACAAGGAACTTAAACTACAGCACACCCGATTCACCAGGAAAAGCTTTCTGTCAGAGCAATCAGCAGTGACACCAGCTGCCAAGAGAGGTCATGGGCCCTTCCACATTAGAGACATTCAAGGCAAAACTGGACAGCCATCCAAGTGGGATGGTGTGACTTGGCATCCTGCACCAGCAGGGGGTTGGACCCAATGGCCTATTTGGCCCCTTCCGACCCTATTATTCTATGAATCTATAAACAAGACACTGTCTGTTTTTCTATCACCTGTACCAAAAGCTTGCACATAAATAACATACTCTTGATACAGCTAACATACATTTCCTTGAATATGAGAAGGTATTCACAGAACAAACAGAGAAATATTGATCAAATATGCAGCTACCCCAATTCCACGAAAAATGTATTTAAAGATAAAATGAAGTAGTTTGTTTCAGACTATTCTGACTTCAAGGGACCAAAACTTTACAGCAAACTGAGAGTGGAATTTTATGTCTGTTTGGGCAGAAAAGGTTGTTACAGTGGTATCACACCCTGAGGAAAAGACACATACACACATGCCCTTCCAATCAATTCCACATTGTGATTATCATACATCATGACATACTTCTACAAAGGCATATATTTTTTTCAAATAACACTGCTACTTAATCAGAACATAATTATCTTGTAAACTTTGGTGTTTCCAGGTTCCTATAATCTACCTCTGTTGCCCTTTTGGACCAGAATCTACTGCAGTGGGGAAGGAGGTACAAGTGGAATGAATGGCTGCACCAGCATGACATGTACAGAGCCATCCATAAAAAATAAGCTATTGCATTGAAGTGAAGCAGCTGAGCAAACTTACAGGAACCAGTTTCCAAAACCATTTGGAAGGAGACTTCAGAGGAAGCAGCAGGGGAAAAAAGAAAAGCAAAAGGCAAAGGAAAAGTGAAAATTTGACCAGAATGTACAAAATTCCATCATGACATTCTCAATTTTATGCATAACTAATAATATTTAATTGCACTGAATTCTTTCATTTATTATAAAAGTGGTTAATGAGGGTTTGCCTGTTGAAACAATGACTTTTTGTACTTTTCAGCACATTTCAACATAATAATTATCCTGCAGAGATAAAGAGTTACATAAACCAATGATTTTTTTCCACTAGAATAGTAGTAATTTCTAATCCAAGTGTCTACCAGAAAATTTAACTGATTATCTGAATTAATGACATCAGATCATCAAAGTGACAGAAAGAAGCAGCAACATAGGAACCAAGGAATTATGCAGAAGCAAAGCAGCTTTGCACACCCTCTATAGCAGTTTCTAATCACTGCCTTCCATATCTGAAGGCAGTCCAAGGGGGCCATGCTTGGAAATCCTTCACCACCTGAAGTGGGCCAAGGCGCCATTGTGGTGGCAGGAGCGACGACACTCCAACTGTAGTACATCCGACCTGGGGTAATTTATTGGTTGTTCCCCTTTTATCTTAAGGAGGCATTTCTCATATATTTGAATCCCCTTTTTATTGGTTGTTGGATAATTTACTATTTGAATTTATTTATTTTAAACACATGAATCTCTTTTAGTGTTTCATTCTAAATTGTCGCAAAAATGCTTTGGGTTAGTGAGGAAATGATAAACATTAGGGAAAGCTACAGTTAACTTGATTGTACCATTAAGTCAACGGTTTCTGTCCTTTTCCTTATAGAAATAATGACTACAAAGGACCAAGCTGAAAGCAGTTACACTATAAACGAGGTTCACTCAAGATTTAATTTGGTTCTACCTCCTGCTTTGCCACATTTAAGCTCATTTGATATAACTCCACTGTGAAATTGATTTTAAGATGACAAACTATTTAAGCCTCCTTGATACCACCTTAGGATTTATGCTGCTTGGAAACCATAAACTTGCATACAAATTAGCATAACATTCTGCATAAAACAGAACTTTTATCATGTCAAACTCATGTCATATCATGTCTAGTAGCTAATGGCACAACCATCCGGGCTACAATGGGGCCCCTAATGTTAAAATACAGGCAGAAATACATAAAATTAACTTCTTTATATTCAAGAAAGAGGATTCAAGGTACGTGGAACTGACAAAGAGCTCTAAGGTTATCAGGGTTGTTGACATCATCTAGATTCAGGGTCAAGCAACCAGAGGCAAGAACCTGGGGACAAATCTGCCCCCCTCCCTGCAACTGAAGAATACCAGGCAGCTCTCCAGTAGTCAACACAGAAGCAAGAAAGGTGTGCAGAAGGAGTAGAAGCTGCAGTGATGGAAATCACTAGTCATCTTCTTGCTACTGTGAGGCATGGGCCCAACACCTCTTCTCACCTGCAGCCAGGTGGGTCTGGTAGATCTCTGGGAGCCTAACAGTTGATTGGCAAGGAATTTCTTACTCCCAATTGTTCAACAATATAAATAAATTCACTTGATCCGCATATAATGAAAACTCATTGGTTTAATAACCACACTCACTTCTTCTGCTTTAAACAATTGGCTGATTTGTAGGTTGTGGAGTGTGAAGAGCAAATCTAGATCACTGGGCTGTTCAGGGGCTAAACCAACAACAAACTAGAGGCCAGTCACTGACTTTCAGCCTTACCTTCCTGCCTGGGTTGTTGGTGGGACACAATGAAAGGAAAGAGCACCACGGATGCTGTCCTGGGTTCCTCACAAGAGGACATAAGATGGGATATAAATATAACAATAAAAAGTTCCCCAAAAGGTGATAAAATGAGAGTGGCTCTAATATATTGGGATTACACCCTGGGAAGCTCAAGTCCCAAAGGCAGAAACAACTGAAGGACTTTCTCCTTTTCACATAGACTCGAAAGCAGGAATTTCAGGGGACAGTGGAGCTGAGAAAACAGGGTACCTTGACACAGCCAAGGTAAAAAAGGTGATGGGAATTACCTTCCCCCAATTAACTAGCAACTGTGAACAGCACATTGCTAATCCAGTCATCCCTCTAGGGACCACCAACAATACTGACACAGATTAAAATGTATGTAATACAGAAATGATATTGACATGTTTCAGGTTATTCCAGAAAGAAGCTCTGCAGATCTTCCTACTCTGGGCAGAGAAGGAAGAAAAGGGATCACTTCAAATGAAGGTAAAAGCCACTGTGAGGTTCTCCGGTCATAGCACCGGGGGGGGGGGGGGGCGGGATCGCTGAATGGGATGACTTAGCACACCAGCGTTCCTTCATTTGACCCACTTCTGAGGCAGTTAATTACAGTCTCCAGTGAGGCAAATAATTTCTTTCCCCTGTGCACAATGAAAACAATCTGTAGGAAGGAGGAGGACAGTGCAAAAGGAAAACCAAAGTCGTCTGGAGTGACAGCTGTGCATCTGTCAGCAACTTTTGGAAAAATGGTGCAGAAACGTAATTGGGATGGCTACACGGCTGTGAATGGCACAGCTGAGGAGGCAGCACAGATGAGAGCATGTCACGTGTTTAGCCTGAACTTCAAGAAAAAAGAGGCAAACTGAGGAAAGGAGAATGACTAATCTCTCCTGAGGCTGAGAAATTGTGAGATTCCCAGAAACAGAGGGCACATTTGAAGGCTACTGATGTGAGGTCTCAAAAGATCAACTTCCAGTACAGGACTCTACCAGGCTAACAATTAAATGCTGTGAAACTCCCAGCTAAAGGAGACCAGGTTTACTCCCCCTCTCTTCTGTCAGAAGGGAAAAACCACTTTATTCAAGCAGGACTTTGCTGTGCAAGAAGGACTGTTCGGTTGGAAATGGTTGGTACCCTGTTGTGCTTTTAATTGTACTTACTGCATTTGCTTTCTCATCGTTTTCATCAAATTTTATTTCTGATTATTTATTTATTTATTTTCAATTTATATCCTGCCTTTTTCCTACAAAGGACTCAAGGCAGCTTACATCATTCTCCTCCTCCATCTTATCCCCACAACAACAACCCTGTGAGGTAGCTTGGGCTGAGAGTCTGTGACTGGCCCAAAGTCACCCAGTTGGCTCCATGGCTGAGCGGGGACTCGAACCCAGACTGTCTGAGTCCCAGTCCCACGCTCTTAACCACTACACCACACTGGCTCATTATAAGCTACAATGAGTGACACTTTGGTACAAAGGTGGTGTACAAGTCAAACAAAGTAGCAAGGGAGTGCACAGACTATTGTTGAAGTGAGTCACATGGACTTGTGAGGCAGATGTTACATTTTGGCACTTGTAAGGGCTGACGTCACTCTATAGGGCCGCTATGTTCAGATGTTCATATCCTGACTTTGTCAACCAAATTATGGACCAAATTTTGCCCAGTTGTAGCTTCTCATTTCATCTGAAGCAGGAAATGATAGGTATTAGCTTCAGAACAAGGCCAGACACTAAGCTGTGGTCTGAAGTTCCTCTGAAGCCAGTAACCAATCTTTCCTAGTTCACCTAAAAGGGGAAACTAGGTTTAATTAGAGGCTGTTGGATTGGATTCGGCTCATGTGAAGGCAGGAACAAAAAGTTTGGAAGTGATAGCAATAGACTCATTCATATCATGGGTTACACCAGTGCGATATCAACATTGAAACTTGTTTTGTGTGCGTGTGTGTGTGAGATACACCAACCCTTCCCACAGCAACAATGTGAAGTGTAGCTTGTCATACAGCTCACTTTAAAAACTTGGGAGTAGGCGGTAGAGTGCCTTGACTCAGTCAAAAATCTCTTTTGCATATACCTTGGTTTTTAAAAATTGTTTACATTCACTTGCATTCTCAGCTTGCACCTACATAGATTGTAATTTGTTGTTGCTGTTACTTTTATTTTTATATTTATACCCCACGTTTTTCAATCAAGGATCTCAAGGCAGCTTACACAATCCTTCTCTTCTCAGTAAATAAACTCAGGCACACCCAAACCTTGCAGTCCAATGCTCTTTTGTAGTGATTATTTTTGGGACTGTCTATACAATAATGTGCTTTAGTCTTTTAAAACACACACACAAGATTTTTTTAACATTTAGCATATTTCTACTTCCATTTCAGAGTTAATTTTTTATGGAGCTGTCACTTCCAACAAATCTCTCTCCACACTGTCGGATTCCCTTTTGCTATCAAGAAAAACAGGACTGAATTCCTGAATTAAAAATAGACACTTCACTTTACAGGGATAAGGAATGGAAAGGGGTCCCTGCAGACTATGGCTATAGGGGACAGCACTCCTCTTTGTTTCCAAGGTCATGGTCATGTGGTCAGCATGATGTCACAGGGCACTGTTTCCTCCCCACCAAAATGGTGCCTGTTTATCTACTCACATTAGATGCTTTCCAATTGCTAGGTTGGCAAGAGCTAGGGACAAAGGCAGAGGGAGATTGCCCTGCCGCACGGCTTTGAACTGCCGACCTTCCGATAAGCAGCCCAGTGGCTCAGAGGTTTAACCCGCTGTGCCACCGCATCCCCCTTGCGGGAATGAAGACACTGCTATTAGGCATAGCCCACAACACACTTCAACCCTAGCAGCCCCTTCTGCAAGGACTATACAACTTCTGTTGGCATATGACTTCTCTACCCGTTGGCTTTGCATACTCTCCCACAATCGTCAAGTTAGGTTGTCACGACGGGCTACAAACTGGTAGGTGCGGAAAGCAGTCACACGATTATTTTGTCTGTTCCCTCCTGTCTGAACTTTGGTGCAGGCAGAGGGTCATTTTGTGGCAACACATTCACTGATTTAGATCTGTAACTTATTCTCAATGCTCTCTCTACATTCTGTTCACAATGCAGCAACATGCTGCATTGAATCCTTACCACATATAAAACAAAGGGAATTTGCTTTGCCCTACACTGTTTTTAATAGCATGACAATTTGTGTTGTACCAAAAGCAAAATTTCCAAGTGTTTCCTTTTGTGATGTATCACAAAACAGAGCCACCCCTTCCACCTCCCCAGAGGTACAAATGTTTAATGAAACTCTGATGTTATTCTGGCTCAATTAAAGAACAATTTTGCTACTGTATATTAGCATATTTCATCAAGGAAGGTTTTTAGTGGCAACAGTTCTGGATGTTTTTCCCCCCTGCTAGAATCTTTCCGACACGTACCTTTTGAATTCCTGGTGTTTCGACAGTGTGATGCTCTTTCAGTTTTTGTTCTTGCTCCATGATGTCTTTCAAGTGCTCATTTACCTAGAATGACAAATGAAATAGCCTTAAGTGAATGTTGAATTCTTGCTGAGCTGAAAGTAACAGCCCAATTCATAAGGAATGGGGGGTTGCAATAATAAGTTAGTGTAATTTTATAATGAAGCTAGGTTTTACTAACATTTATACAACACCCTGCTTTCAACCCATTTGAAAGGATTTCTTTCTAAAAGTTTCAGGATTTAAAGGATGTATTTACATTTTAGAGGAGAAGTAGAATTAAAGCCCTTTAAACCCCTAACCTGCTTGTCTTAGAGAAGACTCAACCCTTTTAGTTCACTGCATTGTCTGAAAAGATGCTATTTTTATTATGATGCTCTTGTACAATGTCAGAACATGAAAGGGCATGGATGAGCATCCCCACTGGCTGTCTCATGGGTGGCACTCCAACTTCTGGAGCCAATAATTGCAGGGATAAACATGGATCCATTTCTTGTTTTACTTCCTATCTAATCATTTACCACCCACAGCCCTGAATATGTACACATGGGTGAGTACAGAGAGAGATGACCTCCACCTGACAATAGTTTAACCAGCAACCACCCAATCCAGTTTAGACTGAATCAAACTACTGTCAAGCTAATAGATGCAGAGCCTTCCAATATTAGAGATGCACAGTGGGACAGAGGCCATGCTGATGTCCAAGCCTTCTTCAGTTCTAGTGTTGGAAAGAGGGCTCAACGGCTGATGTGCCTGGAAGATCTCAGCAGCAGTGGGCCAAAACAACTCTGTCCACAGTTTCCAGCTCAGAATACAACTGTGGAGAGGAGCAGAAGACTGTTCCTAAACTATAAGAAGGCAAGCACAAGGTAGAGAACAAAAACAGGAGCAGGGTCCTGGTGACAAGTTCTGACTTGGCTACCAAGTCCAGTCCAAAACTGATACATTGCTTTGGTTTGCATCCATGAGTTCAAAACTCTGGCTCCTTGGTTCCTCATCAAACCAAAGTTCTGGGTTCTGATGTCACATCAAGCAACCAACACATGTGGCATTCTTCAGAGGTTCATGAAAAATGATATAAAACAGAAGTGGCAAGCAGGCAGAAGGTACCTTACTCATTTGCTGCTGTGCACTCCAAACTAAAGGTAATTTAACACAGAGTTACTCGATACATATTACTCAGCCAGTGAATGTATTTGCAGCTAAACCAAGATTTGTTTGCACCATGATTTATTGAACAAGATGTAGATGGATAAATTAATTAATCATGGCTTGTATGGCCAATTCCTTGTTTTTTTCCTCCTCTGCCACATCTGCCAATATCCAGACAGTGCCTCGAATGGCATAGTAGCAGTAAAGGACTGCTAGAATCCCCCTCACCCATATGCTCAACCATTGTTCAGTTGCACAAATGGGAACATTTCTAGGCAAACCCCATAGATGTTCCAGCATGGTGATTAACTCCTTTCAACCACCAGAAATGGGCAGCTGACCATTAATCCTACATCTTCTAATTTTAATGCAACTGATTATGTGTATCCCAGAAAAATGACAGGAGAACAGAGGTGATTGTTAAGAATTCTCTCTGCCAAACAGGAGGAGCTCCACATAGTAAACAAACCAAGCACCTAGCTGATATGAGCTAACTGCCTTGAGGACTTATTCAGCAAAAGAGCTCAGAAAACATTTAACCAGTGGAAAAACGGGTTAGTGATCTATTCTTTGCATTAATCCTTTGTCCCATTTGAGAGTTTATGATTTTGCACTCTGTAGAGGTAACAGTCAAGTTCTATTTCTCAGACTAAAGTTGTGGTTTCAACATTCAGGCCTTGATTGATGTTACTAAAATACATATAGCTTCCCTGTGCATGCAAACCAGTAGCAAAATACACAAGGCCTCTACTAAGGATGAAACTCCAAGAGATGGGAGGATCTGGACATGGAAAATATGTTCAGGGTAAATGGGGAGTTTGAGGAATTTGTGAAAAAAGCAAGAAAAAGCAGCTTACTCTGAGCAGTGATTCTTTTATTGTTAATTTTATTGTTTGTTTCTCACACCCTGGGGGATTGCAAGAGGCTTTGGGAGAGCACAGAAACCACCAGGGATAAGCCAGGTTTACAGGTTAAGAAAACATAACAAACCACAATTTAATGAACCACCATTGATAAACCTTCAAACATGTCTTCATATTGGGTTGGTTAAGCCATGGTTTGTTGCTTTATGTAGGTTAATTTCAAACAAACCATAAACTCCTAAAAAACCTGGCTTAGCAGTATCTGAAAACTGGACAAGTATGTGTGAAATGGTGGGAGGAAATCACTGTTCTGCAGGAACGTTAACCAGAAGGGCCAGCAACAACATCAGCCTGTTCTTAGCACTAACTAGAGTTTACCAATGAAGAGTTCACAGGAAAGCATAGCTAGCATTTGCCCTCCAAACTGAAACCAAATGCCCAACATGTGGTTTTCAATTCTGCTTTGGTGGGATGTGCTAACTATGAGTGCCCAATTTGCAGAATGACGAACTGAAAATGAAGCAGCATATGAGACCAGTGACTAATTTAAACTGAGTAACTGGGCAGTTCACACATAATGACGAGCCACCATGAAATAATTTCCCTGTTGGATTAGTGAATGGGGCAGCTGCCAGTGCTGTAGCTTGTCATCACTTGTGCACCCAGGCAGGATGGGTTGCTGCAGTGGTCAATGCACTACTCACAACCCTAAAACAGGCCATGGGAACTGGGTGGTTGATAAAACATCCTAACAAGCCACCCAAGTTGTGTCGCAAACTGCAGCATACTCTCAGCATTTCTTAAATTTTAATGATGCTCCCTTCATCAGGAAACTAACCCATGGAGGTTTCTTGCTACATGCAAATCAGGTTGCTAACTCTGCAGCCAAACAAACGGATTTTACGGTGAGCTGTTGCAGTAGCTGACTTGCATAACCACTTGCATCCTGTGTGTAAATTATACAAAGAGTAAATTTGTGGCAGATCCTACTAAAGATGCAAAGATGAAGCCAGAATCTGGCCCTTCTGCACTCACTGGATTTCCTTCCAGCTCTCAGGCAAGTTCAGGAAGTGAATCAAACCACTATCAAGTCTGTGAATGCTCAGGAATGCTAATAGCTTCTTGTGCAAAATATGGCAAAGCCCACAAGCCACGTGTGGAAGCAAAACTCTGCCTGCACACTGGGTACATGGGCAGCATGTGCACAAGTTGTTCATGGAGACCCACGTCTTGCCAGGCATCCACATGGACACTTGTCATGAGTTGGGCTTAGAGAGGAGAGAACGCAGGCCAACGTCTGGGGAGCTGAGCCAAGGAAATCTGACAGATTCTGACCCCCAAACCCAATTCCTCACACATCACTAGATCTTACCTTATTTATCCAGAACATGACAGCATCTTCTATGTCATAGGGAAGGTCCGTGGCTTGGAAGAAGGACGAATACTGCTGTACGCATGCAATCACTTTTTCCACGCTGATCATTTCTACGGTATATGCCATCATCAAGGTATCAATCATTGCCAAATGAGCACTCTGCAAAGAGAAATTGTCATATGCGTTTTGAAAATAGCATTTCCCCCTAATTTTGCATCCCTGAAGGAGGTCACATGCAGGCTCATAAAGACATTTTCTTTCATGAATGATCTAATGAATGATCTTAAAGAAGATATGTTATCAATCACATCAGGAAGTAATCAGTTCTCCCTTAAATTATTTAAGATTTGGGTTCAGTAAAACTTGGTATTTAACATTAAAATAGCACTTTGAACATTCTAAAGTTCTTGGTAATGATTACAAGAATTCTCTAAGTTTTAAAGGTCACTATGATTATTCCACTGCTGCAAAGTCTGATAGGGAATAGACTAGGGCATCCTACTAAGTTTCTAGCAAACAAGATATCTGAACTAGGAATTACTTGTTTATGGTTTGGCCTTTTAGGATAAAATGCACACCAGAGAGCCCTTTTGTATACAGTCTGTTCTATATTCCAAGATATATAGTTGCCTGAAGCAAAGCTGGAGATAGAAGTAAACATGTTGCTTCTGAATCATTTCATTACAAATATTTTGAATCATCCCTTACAAATAGCTATCTGAGATGACATCAAATTAAAGATTCTATATTGAGAAGTTAAACTCTGTAACCTGATTTGGATAGAAGGAGCAGAACAAGAACTGTTTAATATAATAACTGAGCATCAGCCGCAGGCTTACAAAGCAGTAAATGCAATAATAAGAGGTAACATAAAACTGCATAGAAACAGTAAAAGCAATCATTTATTCCAGCTTTCTAAATGTGGAAAGCAAGATGTGTCCAGCAAGATGACAGAGAGGAAGAGCAAAGATAAGTTCCTTGCATGTTTTTACCACTCTCTACAGGTGAAGAGTGACTTTTTGAAGTAGAAAGTCATTTCTGTCCTTCAAGGCTCTCCCTTTGATCCAGAGCCCAGATTTTCCAGGGTTCCAAATCGTGGAGAGAAACTCCACAGATAGAAAAGGATCTTCTCTCCTGAAAGTCTTGCTCCAGATGGAGACAACAAACATGGCGACAGAACACATTGGCAGCACCAGTGTGCTCTGTCCTCTCCACTTCTTAATCCTTATCTAGCACACCCAAATAAGCAAAGGTCTTTCAGGATGCTAGACTACTAGATACTAGTTGGCAGAACATTGTTGGGCAGGCAAATTTTATTTTGTAAGGGGCTTGTTAATGTGGGAGCCTTCCCAAAATCAAGAAGGCTCAGAACCAGTGAGGCTTTAATTGGGCAGAATATGGAAAACTTTGGGCGGGACGTCTCCACAAAGCTCTATCCTTCCATTGATCAGTTGCAGGAACCAAAGTGGATCACAAAAAGAGCAACGAAACAGCTGCTGAAAAGTAAAAACGAGCAGCAAAAAGAGTAGGGGAGGAAGGAAAAGAGGCCGTGTAGCCACATTAGAATGTGAACTAATTATTTAACTAATTATTTAACTGTTTAATTGTCTGCCTTGCCCCACTTTACAACTCTTGGGACATGTTTCTTGCCAGTGCAGTGTTAGCGATCTCAACCCTATCCACGGATCCCAAGGAATGAGGAAGAAGAGACTCCTGTTAAAACATATTTTTTCCAGTTGAGATTCTAATAAGGAATGGGACTACTTTAAACATGCAGCATGATCCAGATGGAAGGCAAGAATTTCTGAAAGAGTCGTTCTTTTTCATTCACCACCACTGATGTACACCACCTTTCCCATTCAGGTTCCCCACCATCCTGAATCAGGTCGGATTTACCTGTGTTAAAGAATGAGATGGCAAAGCAAACAGACCAGGAAAATGTGATCCCCACATTTTCAAGTGGTACAGTCCATTCTCCCCTTCAAGATCTTCCTAGGGCTGAATATGGCCTCTGAAGACACGTGTGGACTGGCGAAGAAGGAAGAAAACAGGGCAAGCCAGCCTTCTCCCTCTGCTCAGCTGTTCCACCAAGAATTATTGCAAGAATTATTACTTCAGTATTCTCTTTAAATACTGAATTTGGAGGTGTCATTAAGCAAAAACAAAACTGCAATTAGATCTTTCCTAGTTAAACCTGACTGTATCTCTCAAATAATCTCTACACTCTCCTGTAATTATTGCTTCCCTTGTGTAAAGTGCAGAAGCTTGAGCCATGCTGGAGATTAAGGTCTACTTGGTAAGAAGATTACTGAGTCCTGAAGTACCGTTACTTTCAGGGCTAATGCTTCCTCTGTTTGCTTCATGCTATTTGGGAATTAGATGGCTTTGCCCAGAGGAATCGTCTTTAAATACTTCAGACCTTATTCTGGAAACATTAAGTTGCCTAGCATTCTTTGCAGTAGACACAGAGTAAAGGTAATGCATTTATATTAAGGGATATTAACATATTTGCTTTGAAAGTACAGCTTCAAAACAGCAAGACAATAGTAATTTAGTCTCAATGGTCCAAGATCAACTACACCAGTGGGGTGCCCACATCCCTAGGGAGTGCAAGATGGTATTTCAGAGGGAGTGACAAAGGGGAGGGCTGAGTTATGATTTTCTGAAATTAGTGAATCACAATGTTGTTCAACCAAAATTATCCCAATAGTAAAATTATTATTATTCTGCTTGCATTTGGAATAAATTCTCTTTTGTCAATCACGACAAAATCTAGGAATCGCCTGAATCCACAAGTAGCCTTGCAGATTGCAATGAGCAAGAAAGTTCCAGGATCTGACAAAATCATGAATGAGAAGCAGGAACAAAGCAGGAGCACTCGAATTTTATGTTCACAATCAGGACTGATTTTACAGTTTGCAATTTTTTCTAATTGCTCAATTTATATTTCAGTTTTATGCACTGAGTTAAAAGCTTATTGGTCGAGTCCAATTTGTTCACCCACAGTACTGCATGTGGTTCAAAAACCAGAAATTTTACTTCTTCATCTTCAAATGTGATATTACTTTTGTAAGGGGTGTGAACAAAAGCAGATCAAACAGTTTCTAGGCCTGCAGGCCATACAAAAGGTCGGGAACCACTGAATTACACAGAAGAGGGATCACAAAACAGGCACTGGGATTTCCAATTTACCATTAACCATTTCTTAATGGAGAGGAGGCCACAGACTATTTTTTTTTCAATGTTGCTTATATTCCAGAGCAAAACATCTGTTTCATGAGACTGTTGCCAGCCAAACAGAAAAGATGATTTTTATTTTAATGCTTTGTTTACTTGCGCAGCTAACACATGTTTAAAAACTACCTGTTCTAGAATAGTAAAACCAAGAATACCAATTTTAGAATTCATTCATTTAAGCACCATTTTGGGTTATATTGTTTTCTCTAAATAACAATAATTGCAAATATGTAATTTTTCCCAATGGTCAGAACCACAGGGGGAAATTCTCAAGGAGGCCAGAAGAATGCAGATGTGGATCAATTTCTGTATGGGAGTTGTCTGCTCACTTTTTGAAGGCACTGACGATGACAACGGTGATGACGATGACCACTATTTTAAGGCAACCTCTATTTCAAGGGTGGGTAACCACATCCCAACCTGCAACCGTTTTGTGGTTCCTGCCCCATCTTTGCTGTGGCAACTGTACAAGGTATGAGGGTCCATGGGGAGCACAGACCTTGTTTGCAATCAGAATTGCATCTTGGAAGCTTCCTGGATGCCAAATTTTGCACAGAAAAAAGTATGTGCTCCAGCACACCTTTATTTACAAAATAATGGGTAAACTATGAAAATATTTTCATTTGTTCTGTTCAGCAGTTCCTATTTGCAAACTTGGATAAAGACAGTCCAAAGCTATGGGAAACCTCAGCACTCTTTCCTACTCTAAACATGTCAAATAATTTGTGGTGTAGAAAAACCTTAAACAACAATATTAAATTAAATGTATGTGTAACTGAGATAGAGGCATGGATGGATGAATATCTATGTATGTATTTTAGTGCATGGGATTGCCTCTAGGCAACACTTGTTCTTGAAGGTCAAGATCAAGGTACGTCACAAGATATTGAGAAGTCTGGATAATGCTGCAGTGCCAGCTATTTTTCACCACTGCAAAAGGAACAGAAGAGCAATGCAGCCTGAGGTGAGCCACCGCAGTTTTTACTTAGTGAAACACGGGGAGCGTTTCCACAATGGAGGCGCTTCCTACCAAAATGAGGTCCGTCAGCTCTAAGTCCAGAAGGAACAGCAACACTTTGGACTCCCTGATCATTGGTGAGAACCAGATCAACTGCTCAACTTCAGTTCTCTTCTGCCCCTGACAGTTGGCATAGAAAGAAACACTCTAGCTAATTCCCTGAGATCAGAAACTTGACTCTGGAGAGGGGTTAAAACAGCCAGGAAGAAAGGAAACAGCAGAGGCCAAGCTACAACTTATCTGTCCTCTGCAGCCTCCTTTTCTCCCCACCCCACAGGGTGTGGGGAGGGAGAGATGGAGGTCACCTTTACTGCCCTCCAAATACAGGCCTTACGAGCTTTGAGGATGCAACTCATAGGACTGTGCTCCTAGTTTATCAAATCTTTCAAGATTCGGAAATATTGTATCTGTTACACTGGAACAGCAGCAAATATGATATTTATTTCTATCATAAATACCATGTTTTGGTTGCAGTCCTTCACCGCAACAAGCATATTACGTAGCAAAACTAGAGTGGAAGGTGTCTTCATGCATCAGTGAAAAAAAAACACAAGTGTCCAGTTTCATTCATGTAACATGCTAATTGTACAATTCTTCATGGTGACAGATTTAGAAGTCTTTTGTTTGCTCAAGAAGTACAATTACATGCTCTTATTTAACACATATGGATCTATTTTTGCATATAGTCCAAGATAAAAAACAAACGAAATTTTAACATCAATACAAGCAGCATTATCCTTCTTCCAGAACATATAATTCTTCGAATTAGGAAACAGTTTAATTTAGAATTGTATTCCCTACACACACTGCTGTGCCAGGTTCATGCACCTTGCTTCTTTCTAATTCTGTTTTATTTAAATGAATAAGAGTGCTAGATTTTAACCGTCTTCAAAAGAATGTAAGC